GCGGGCTGCGGGGACACCGGCACGCTCTCTCCATCGCTGCCGCTGCTACCGCTGGCGCCGGGGCTCAAGCTCAGGCTCAGGCTGCCCGAGGCCGCCGCCACCGCCGCCGCGCCGAGGCCCGAGTCGCGCTGACTTTTAGGTTCCGGTTGCTGTTCTTCCATGCTCGGCCGCCCCGCCACCCCGGCCGCCGCGCGGGCCCCCGCCCCCCCCGCCTCGCTCCCCACCCCACTTTGCCAGTGGCCCGTGGGGGTGCGCGGAGGAAGGAGGCCGGCGAAGCCCCAGCGAAGGCACGGGGCGGGTGCAGGAAAAAAGCCCAGGCGCCTGGCCTGGATCGCTCGCTGTTATCGAGCAGATAGATCTCGCTGTCTCGCCCTCTCTCTCTAATTTGTAGACATCCAGATATGGAGACACTTGGCTATTTCTTTTTCCTTTCTGCAACCAGATTCAATGATTTGTTTGAAATGGGGAATAAGCCACAGCCAAAAAGATTTTTAAAAAGAAAAGAAAAAAAAAAGAAGAAAAAAAAGAAGGCAAGAAAAAAAAAAAGAAAAAGCTCCAAGAATTTTTTTTTCTTAAAGGGAAAAAATAGTCTTTAAAATCTAGCCATCTTCCTAGGCAGTAGTGAGGGGTTTGACTTCCCCGAGTGTCACGCTCAGCTGTGCCCAGAGCGCGAGGCTGGCAGCGCCTTTAATCGCCTTTGCTTTTTTTGCAGGGAGAGCGCGTCTTCGCCAGCGCCGGGGCTGCCTTTTTTTTTTTTTTTTTTTTTTTTCTCTCAAATCTCTGACAGCTCGGATCTTTGCACAAACTCTCGCTTAAAAAAAAATCACCCAGGCACACTTTTTGCCTTCAAACCGGAAGCACGTGAGTCAGGGCCGCACGTGTGCGGGACCAATGGCGAACCAGGACTCGCGCTGACACCCCGGCCTTGGCCCAATGGGCGCACGCGGGCCTTTGCGGATAAATAATCCGGGGGCGGCGGCCTGGGGCGGAGAGGGGGCGCCGCGGCGCTGGCCCCGCGCGTCCGGCCCGCCCTCCCGGAGCCGCACCCGAGCCCCTCCCCCTCTTTCAGGCCAAGACGGAGGAAGGGGCAAAGGAGACCCAAGCTGTGTGGATTTAGGGGTGTAGGCAAATAGAGAAGCAACTCCATAAACAACTTGTTGGAGAAATGCAGGATTATGGGTGCGTGCGCGTCGGGCGCAGGGTCAGGAAGCTGGGGCCGTGGTTCTTTTGCACCCCCAAGTCTAGGAAACTCAGCCTTTTATATTCATATTCTCTCTTCCCCTCCCCCCCATATTTCTTCACCCTCCCTTCTTTTGCCCTCTTCTTGCTGTTATAAAGGGTGAGAGGTTGTGTCGCTGTGTGTGTGTGTGTGTATGTACACGCGGGTGTGTAATGGAGAGGTAGCAGAAAAACAGGGAGGGTTTTAGGCCTGAATAGACCTAGAGCTGGTTATTTGATGAGATGCAGTTTATTTTTCACAAACAGCAAACCTGAGAAGCCAACTGCGGCTAGCTAGCACCGGCTCTTCGTAGGTTTGCAGCGGATGCTATCGGGTTGTACTGGGTGTCCTTTTCGGGGTATCCACACCCTAGTCCTTCCCTGATAGAACCTTTCACTATCCCCTACCCCCAAACAGTGCTAGCGCCTGTAAATCAGGCCCAGAGGGCCAGAGAGAGAGCTTGAGAGCCTACAGGGCTGGTCTCCTGGTCTCCTGGTCTCCTGGTCTCCTGGTCTCCTGGTCTCCTGGTCTCCTGGTCTCGGGAGTCGAAACAGCCCAGCATCCTGGAGGAGTCTTGGACAGGCCACATTGAGCCCCAAGATGTGAGTCACTGGAAGTCTGACTTTTGGTTCAGGGTGTTAGGTTTCCCTGCCAAGTGAAATCAAACAAGTCAAATTACCACATCCCAGTGTTTGCACTGACCACTTGACAATGGGGGACAGAGTCCCCCCTCCCCCCAGTAGCCCTGATTTTTCTAGGATTACTTTCGACTCTCTGAAGGCCTCTGCCTCTAGCCCTACGCTTTCTTCTCATACTTCGCAAGACTGCGGGTGCTCCAGTCGCTCCCACTCTCAGGGAGGTCCGCCTCCAGTTCGCTAAGGCTCCTTTTGGCGGTTTCCTGGTTGAGGTACCCTAAAAGTCTCCCATAGGCAGGAATGGAAAGTGAGGCTTAGGGGCGCAAGAAGGGCTGGTCTGCCTAGTCATTTTGAAGGGCCAGGGTCAACTGTGAGCTGGACCTGCTGTGTGGAGTGGTTCGAAAGGCTTCAGCAACGAAGGCCTTTCTTCGCTGGCATGTTCTTTTGGAGTCCCAGAGACTGGTGGCCCTGATGACCATCCCCAACTGGGCCCCGCAGAGAAGGAGTTTCTTTGGAAATACCATTTAGTAGGAACATGTAAAATAACCCCCTTGTGTCTCCCCAAAGTTGCGGGAGATTAGGAGAAAATTAAAATGGAAATCACAAAAAGCCAAATCGAAGTTTCTCAGAGGAGCTTATGGAGAGCGGGGATTCGCATTGCTGGTGCACTTCGGAGCAGCGGAAGGTCCTCTCACCCTGAGCTAGCGCTAGCGCTGGCGGAGTAGGTAGTTAGACCTTCCGGGAGGCCTGAGGACAAGAGCCACTTTTCGGACCCGCTGCGCTAAGCAGGTCCTCTGTGGGCTCCTGAACTCTCCCAATCCTCCCCCCTTCCACAACACGTCCTGGAGTCTCCAGGGTTGTCTTCACTTCTAAACCCAAGCGCTCCCCAAAATCTCCTGGTGCCCCCACCCTTTCTCCTTGAAATGGGGGGTAAGATTTTATTTATATTTAAGTTCGCAAAATTGAAATCTTTATCCAAAAGCGAGCGTGGGTACTTAATTAAATTCTAATTAGGACACTATCAATATCCTATTTAGCCGCGTAGCTTTTGTGCGCCGCGGTCCCTTTCAGCGCCGTAAATAGGGTCTCGACGCCTTATCTCGCCTGCAGGAGACGCCTCGAGAAGGGCTGCGGAAGATAATTTATAGGTTTTAATTACTCTTCATTCCGCCTGATCAGCTTGGCGTTCATCACAGGCCTGTGAATAAAACCCTGGTCAAAAGCTCTGTCACATCGCGCTGGCAAGACGCTTAATCAAAGTGAGCGGCCCCGCGCGCCGCGCGGCCGGGCTCCTCCACGTAATTTCCAGCCAGCTGATAAAGCCAGCTGAATAATGCGGCGGCCCTTTGGAGACACCATTTACAGAAATGACTTTATTGACGGCTTAACGTCGGTAATTCATTTTACCTTTCATGTAGTGGAGCCCGGATTTGTTACAGTAATGGGATGATAAATGCACCCGCGGCCCACGAGCTCGGGCTGGATTAGGCGGCGCTCCGCGCGCGCTGGCTCGTCCCTCCCCCATCCCCCAACAACCTCGCTAGACCGAGCCTGCACCGGACGTTCCGCACCTAGCGCTGCGAGCTTTCCACGACCCCTCTAAGTCCCCACTCCCTCCTTTACTTGCTGAAAACCATCATCTGAGAACTGGGTGTTAGCAGGTCGGTGTCCTGGCACGCCTGGGAGTGAGGTGCGTGAGGGTTCAGAGTGAGCAAGTGTTGGCAGAGATAGGTACCTGAGGGTGCAAAGGACTCAGACTGAATCCAGGGTTTGGTTTGCGGATGAAGAAGTGCGGGCAGAGTGAGTGGTGTGTTTAAATGTGCGAATAAAAGGGTTGGTTGGCTGTGTGCAGAGGGATGTGTGCACACGTGAGCATGTTTGTGGGGAAGTCCTTTGCAGGGTATCATTCACGCCTTTGGGAAGTAAGGCATCTCTTCCAACTTGATAGATGTCCAGGTGGGGATGGCAAGGAGATGGGTGGGCAGGAAGCAAGTGGAGGAATCTGTCCAGAATGGAATACACTCCCTGTTTCCAAGTGTCCGGCTTCTGAACCAAAGTATGGAAGTTTGGGGGGGGGGCGCACAGTACCAATTTCCACTGCCTTGAAGTTTTGTGCTGTACAGTCCCCTGGGGAAAAGGCCCCATAGAAAGTCACTGACCCAGCCATGTCTCCCAATAAATCGACTGTCCCCAAGTTCCTTCTCATACCTAGCCCAAATAAAAGTGGAAAATGAGAAAGAAGAACGATTTTGTTTTATTTTACATGCCAAAACGGAAAACAAAACCCCTATAATTTATTTCCTACTGGAAGGGAGAAGGTAGCCCAGAGTGGCTCTTCCTCGTGGGAGGTGGCAGAAACAGGGCAGGGAGAAACTCGGTCCTCGTACATTGCTCCCATTCCCAGTATTCCTCCATTATCTGCCCATTCCAGGGGCTTCCACTGGGCAAGAGGCATCTGGACAAACAGACAAGAAGAGTGAGTTTTGAGAGTGATAGAGCTATTTGGGGGTCACAGAGTAAGAAGACGTATGAGTACTTCTTAAAGTGAAGGCTGAGAAATTGTATTTTTGTTTTCCCTCTTACCAATCTTGAAAACTAAAAGCACATTTATTTGGAGAGTGGGCCAGGACTTTGGGGCCAGAACTCATATTGGTGTCCATGTGCTTGTGTATGTAAGAACCACAATGAGAGAAATGAGTCTGCAAGAGCACTGTGTGCCTGTGTGTATTCATGTGCTTTTGTGTGCACACCACGTCAGCCCCTCTAGTTATTGGGCACGGAGAAATGTGTTCATTGAGGGTTTGGGTGTATGCTGTTAAGAAAATAGAAATTTCACATCACCCTGAATTTTGCAGAATTTTGGATTTCGTTCAGGCAATATCACAGTCCTGCTTGCTTCCACCTCTCTTTTGAGGATGGGTGTGAGGAACAGAATTGTGAAAGAAAACCTTGCAGGCTGGCCGGGCGTGTGCACGAGGGGCTGAGAGTGAGAGCGTGTTGCCTGCACACGGTGGTAATCGCATTTCGAGTGTAGATCAGATGGCGGTGGGGCCTCGTGGCGCGGGACATGAATGAGTTGTCGCAACACAATAGCGCACAGCCTTCCTACGGGGACTGGGTGACCAGCGGTTTTGTTGGGAGTGAATGCGAGGAGATTTCTGCTACAAGTGCCGCGGTATTATTATGAGCCAGAAGGTCAGACTATACATCACAGGTCCCCAAAGCCTATAGACCTTGGGAAATGTAGGGCCTCGAGTCACGTCATTGTACCTGACAGTCCTTTCAATACACTAATTCAATTAGCACT